AAAAATGTATTCATTCATTTAACTGTCATGAAATCTTGACATTTGCGAATCAGATAATTCCGAGGGAAACGTTTAACGGAACGAATTGTTCGCAGAATTTCTGCTAAATGGTATACCATCCTGCTGCATTGGAGAGAACGGCGTTGTGAAACTATTCTCACGAATAACTTTGACATCTCGAATACACTAGATATACCGACCAACGCCCTCTTTGCCATTATCAGTGCAGGTTATTGAGAGAACACGATCGCTAGTCACCGTCCCCATTAGTATAGTCAAACAAGTTGGAATTATGATAAATCCTGACAATATATATAAACGTACAGTATTGTAGCAAGTGATTTTTACCGATCAGTGATCGCAAATACATCCATGCTAACATTAATTGCATGTGCAATCAGAGGTGCATATGCCTGAGTAAAAAAGAGGCTGTGCCACACAAGTTGTTTTTTTTTGCGTTTCTGGATCGTCCTGTTGCCTGTATACCATAATACAAACCCCTTGGAAGTGTGCCATATCCATTATTAAAATGAATAATAATTTATTACAGTTTATGTCTGAATTATTCTAATAAAACCTTCGTTTTATCAAAAGTTTGATTTTGTGGCATAGCCCCTTCTTTAACTGAGGCACTCAATTGTAATTCTAGAAAAAACAACATGGTTACCACTCGAAAACTCCCCCGTACAGAACATTGAAAGTCCCCTTTGAATTACTTGAGATGTTTATACGTCATTCTATGATATAAGAACATACCGAGTGTTGTTCAATGAATTGTTCCTCCTCGCTTTTAGGGCTTCGTCACGAAATGGAATTGCTACTAGTTGACACATATTATTTCCGAAGAAGGTTTCATACATGCAGTCAAGACGCATTGAAACTGACGAGAGAGACGACAGAACTGACAGAGGTAATACCTCGAAACCGGTCTGTAGGTGATCTGCTCTAATAATTTCAGCGTAGTCCTGCTGCTGGGTGAATGAGAAACATCTGCGAGATCAACCCCTGTGGGTTACCAGAACCTACTGTGTAGAAACGTAGGAATATATGAATATTTCGATATTTCATTTCGTAATATTAATTTTCTTATAACAGTTCGAATATTCTCTTCATGAATTCCTACCAGCACAATAAAACACACACTAACTTGTTTGTCCTTATTTTTTTTTTGTATTATAATTTGCTAAATTAATCTAAGTTGCTAAACACATAGCAACTCAGCTTAATTTATATCCACTATTCAAATTTCTTGTTTAGCCGCTCAATTCAAACTGCCCTGTTGGGTCGGGAAGACGGACTTATATCGGTCCTTTCGAGAATTCTGTAGACGGTTCAGTACTGGACTATAATTTCACCGGCGGTTCCAGACTGCATTATTTAGAGGTGAGGTCATGTGTTTGTTCTATGAGTCGGCTGGCGTATCGATCAGGAGCGGCTTCAGATTCGTTACAATAATAATAGATACTCAGATTATTTACCCTCTAGTTAATAACTTTTTTCAGTTTGTATCTGAAAGTTGCTTCTTTGCATGTACAACCGTGGAACGGACGGTTTGGGATTCAAACTCCTATGGAGGTGCATAATTTTTTCTGGTCTTTTCGTCGAGTTGATACTGCCCCTCTACTTCTCTTCTCCAAACAAGTAGAGTAGGATTAGAATGGCAAGTATATTCGTTGCAGCAACTTTATTGTTCCCTGACAGTTCCGATGACCAGATCTGGCGGAGTTTGTGCTGATACTTGCCGCGGAGAGAGTTCTTCGCTGGTGTTACCTGTTGTGAGTGGCGTTCTTCCACCCCGTCTCTCCAGCATCCAGATAGTGTAGGATGCTTCCATCTACGAGCTGCACATCCTTTCCGTAGTCCCTGTATCATCCTCTTTTGGTATGGAGCATTGCACATTTGTCTATCCCAAATTTCATAGCGATAGCATGCGTGTATCTTCCATCCCCTCAAAGACTGGTGGATATCCTTCTCTCCAGAGGCATAAAGTTTAGGATCATTCATATAAAACAAAGGGGTTTCCGGCGATGCCACAGTTATACTCTCGAGTATTTCTGAGCGCAACAGATAAGGGCAATAGTGAGATACTCAGAAGAGAAGGCGACTGAAGGAGTCGCCCTGAAATGCCTTCCTTCTTAAAATCTGAGCAAATGCAAGCTGGGTTAATGTGATGTTGTATCCAAAGCATTGCGGAAATCGATCCAGGCCATAGAGAGGTTACGCTTTTACTATATAGAGTCCTGCGTTACACATCCATCGATGAGCAGGTTCTCTTTACATCCATTCGACCCTCTCTGTTCATATATCCGTTCGAACACTCGGTCAACTGCGGTGAGTATTCGTGTGTATAAGATGCTCGTAAATAACTCAAATTTAAGAATGTTGGTCTGTGATTCTTAGGAATTATTGTTGATACTATTATAATCATTTATACTAGTATACAATTCGCAGTTGAAAATATTTCTGCTAAATATGCTCGGTTATAAATGGAGGTTCCTCTGATGGATTAGTTTCTCAAGCCAACCACCTCGAACACCTTTTTTGTATAACTGGTGATTCGGCGATGACTCAACTCGATCTTATTCGAGAGGTTCGCCCCGGGCTTTGGTCGAATTCCTGACACGAATCGCAAATCGAAATCGTGAACCTCGCAAGGCACGCGCGAACCGAACAATCGTACACTTTTGTAGTACGTGAGTGGAGCAAGGTCGCGCCAAGCCGGTCCGAAATTTTTTTTCTTTTTTTTTTATTCCGCAGAGGGCGCTCGCGGGCTGCACATGTGGTCGTTTCCTGGAAAGCGATAATAAGTCCAGGAAGTGACCTTTTTGTCGTATAGTTTTGTCGAACAGCTCCGATGTTTATAAACATTTGAATTTTGATTGTACTTATCCTGGAGGTGTACGAGGGTAGTCTGGAAACTTTGCGACCTAACAGAGATACAAGACATTTTTTTCAATTTTTTTTATATTTTTTAAAATATTTTTCAACATAGTCCCTCTTAAAGGTTGTCGCAGTTGCAGTTTTTGTACATTCCGAATGTTTATCGTCTGCCAAGCTCTTACGCTAGTTGCACACACACCGATTTTGGACGGCCAGTATAAAATCGGCCGATATTTTATTGGTAGCGGGTGCTTGCACACTCGATTTTTATCGGTCAAACAATCAGTTGCTTTGTTGTCGTAATTAGCACGCACTACCAAAACGAAGTTAATGCGTAGTAACTACAATTTCACCGAGCATTCGAGACTGGAATGGTCGGTAAAAAACAGGTGAGTATGCAAGAGTGTATTTAGTCATGTACGCCACTGCTTCCCGCTACCAATAAAATATCGGCCGATTTTATACTGGCCGTCCAAAATCGGTGTGTGCAACTAGCGATACAGTGGCAGTGGACGGCTGCTCACCGGTATTTTACCGGCGACGATCACTGGTTGGCGTGTGTGCCAGGTCCCGTTCCCACATGTGGTTCACTATTGGAATTTGGACGGCCAGTATAAAATCGGCCGATATTTTATTGGTAGCAGGTGCTTGCACACTCACCGAATTCTTATCGGTCAAACAATCAGTTGCTTTACTATCGTAATTAGCACGAACTACCAGAACGAAGTTGATGCGTAGTAACTACAATTTCACCGAGCATTCGAGACTGGAATGGTCGGTAAAAAACCGGTGAGTATGCAAGAATGTATTTAGTCATGTACGCCAAGTACTTCCCGGTACTGCCGGCGTTACAGTGGCAGTGGACGGCTGCTCACCGGTATTTTACCGGCGACGATCACCGGTAGGCATGTGTGCAAGGTCCCCTTACCACATGTGGTTCACTATTGGAATTTGGACGACCGGTACAAAGTCGGCCGTCCAAAATCGGTGTGTGTGCAACTAGCGTTACGCTAGTCAATCAGTTGCCTTGTTTGTCGTAATTAGCACGCACTACCAAAACGAAGTTAATGCGTAGTAACTACAATTTCACCGAGCATTCGAGACTGGAATGGTCGGTAAAAAACCGGTGAGTATGCAAGAGTGTATTTAGTCATGTACGCCACTACTTCCCGGTACTGCCGGCGATACGCTAGTTGCACACACACCGATTTTAGACGGCCGACTTTATACATCTGTTCTATCTGCAATATCTTGAATACTTGTTTTTTTATGTTCTACGACATCCAAACATATTTCAAATTCCACTTCTTCAGTATGTCTAGAAGGCTGATGTGCTTTTTTAAAATTACTCTCAACCGAGCCAGTATATTTAAACTTAGCTATTATCCTACTAACTGTTGACGATGAATATTTGTTGCAGGATGTCTGGCATTGAAAATATCAGCTAATTGTCGATGACCGGTATTCTCGCCGCATATTAAAACGATTTCAATTTTCTCTTGAAGATTCAGCATTTTTAACAACACACTAGACAACGAATAAACTATTTTAAATCTAACTAAATATCTTTTTTTTAATCTTATTTTGTTAATAACAATTGCAATTTTTTACCTGCACCAAAATCCTTCAAAAACATTTTTCTAGAGGTAATTCCGAATCGAATGAGCTATCGTTTATATTTTTAGGACCTTTATCTCTATTTTTCATGTTTTTGAACTTGTTTATTATACTATAAAGATTGTTTTCGATTCGTCAACCGCCAAAACTGAAAGCTTCAACAGGCTTTAGCCAGAAAATGATACATTGCTTGAACCTTTTCTGAAGTGTTTGCAAAAATTTTCAACATAATTTTTTCCTAGCATCAAAATCGAGCGAGTAAAACCGAAAATAATGTTGGTTCCTTCGCTCCTATTGAAATTGATCCTACCATTTATGTACTTGTGATACACTCTTAGAAGTTTTTCTGGTTTAAAGTGCTCAGTTTGTAAAGAAATTGAGTTTGAAGTGAAAAAAGATGTTTCTTAATTCTGCAAAAAATTAAGAAAGAGCAGGCCGGGTTCTGAAAAGCAAATAATATTATAAAAAAAACAGACTGGGTAATTCACATTATTCAAACACGATTGTCATATAATTGTTTATTGTGAACTTGAAAATTTTACAAACTAATATAACTAGGTAATATAAAAAGTTTAACTGAAAAACTAATTAGACATATGTTCAGTCATCAATTCAGCTAATTTACATATGAATTCAGGGTCGTTCTCACGCTCCGCCCATTTCACAGTTTCCTCTAAATTTTCTTTATTTATCGTGCCTTTCACTAGATAAAATTCCTCTTTTTTAGTGGCCATTAAGATTCGCTTGGCGAATGAAAAATTCTGTCTTTCCAAACAAATATCCAACGCAGTTTTCCCTTCATCATTTTTGATGGTCAAGTCGCAATTGTATGATATCAGTAGATCTATGGTTTCGACTGTACCTCTCTGTTGACACGCAGATATCAAAGGACTATTTCTAGATAAGTTGGGTTCAATAACGTTCACATCGAGACCAAACTCAAGAAGCAGTTTGACAATTTCGTTGTGACCTCCAACGCAAGCCCAGTTTAGTGCCAAGTGGAGGTCTTTGAATTCCAGGTAGTCCTTATCTTTGTTTTCCAGAAAGAGTTTGACTATGTCCAACTTTCCGTATAGACATGCCCACACAATGGGAATGTAACCCATACCCGTGATGTTGTCTCTGGAGTGGGCATCCGCCCCTAATTCCAGTAAACCCTTCACACATCTCACATCCCCAGTTTTCACAGCCCAGTGTAGGGCGTCATTCAGATTACTGTTGTTTTTGTACTTTTTCGCACACAGCAACTGTATGACTTTCAGTTGGCAGTTTTTTCCTGCCAGCAACATTGGAATATTTCCATCCAAGTTGATATCTCTTGCATCAAAGCCAAACTCGGCGGTAATGATCGCCTTAGAAACGCCAGAGCTATCCTGAACTATGTCGTCCAATTCAAGAAGGTGTTCCACGCACTCGTGGTACCCCAACATCGATGCCCAGATCAAGGCGAGTTCAACTTCCTGCGCATGCTCTTTCCTGTATGTCCTTGAAAGCAATATTTGAGTTATTCTACTCTTTCCGTACAAACTGGCCCAAACCAGAGGTGTGTATCCCAACCCTTCGAATCCATCCTTGAGATGCTTATCAGCTCCTGCTTCGAGCAAAGCTTCAACACACTCGGAATGACCTTGTCGCACAGCGAAGTGCAAAGCTCCCACTCCCCCTTTTGCTGAGTTCAAGGGTTTTGGTCCCAGCGAAATGAGTTTTACTGAGAGGAGAGCGTGGTTATTGGCTTGAGCCCAATGCACAACTTCCTGGAACTTCTCTTGCGTATTCAATACATTTAAATCACAATTATCAATTGCGGTCAGGTGTTTAATGACATCTAAGCTGCCTGATTTGCTAGCCAACAACAGGAAAGTATTTCCATCGTTGTCGATTGTATTAACATCAATGTAGTCGAGCAGTACACTTACACAGTCTCGGTAATTGGAGGAAGAAGCAGTGGAACAGGCCTGAAGTATTTGTTCTCTGGGAAACTCTCTGTTTGTTACTAATGCCCTGATTATTTTAGAATGTCCGTAGGTAACTGCGTACTGCAGTGGGCTGAAATCGAAGCCATCAAGCTTGCTTTCATCAGCTCCCATTTCGAGCAGAGCTTCCACACAACTCAAGTGCCCACCTTGACAGGCATAGTGGAGAGGAGTGAGTGATGATTTCTTCTCTTTTATCATTTCTAATAAATTGAACTTTTTGAGAAGTTGGTAAGTTACATCTGACCTCTTTTGAATGCCTGACGAAAATATAGGGTTGTTTCCTCCAACATCCTTCTTATTCACATCAGCTCCCATATCGTGTAGCATCCGCACTATGTCGGTTTGGCCATTAAGGCAAGCTCTATGTAGAGGGAAGCCTTGGTCGATAGTCAGAATTTTTTTTGATAAAAGAATAGAGAGTATTTCTTTACTCCCTTGCCCAGAAGCAATTTCCGATAAGTATTGGTCATTATACTTCGCTTGCAATAGCTCTTTGTTTTTCAAAAACATATCCCTGATCTGAAAATCATCAAAATGTGAAGTTTCGCCAAACTTTTGGCAGTTTCTTTTACTAAAAATTTGATGAAAATTCCTGTGGACTATGATAAAAACGAAAACTTCAAATATAAACTCCTTCTCGAATAATAGTTCCTCTTTAGGAAATTTTTTATAGAGACTCTCAACAACTTCTAAAGAACACGATTTCATAGCGGAATCGAAAAGGTCGTATCCAAAAAATCTGTCTTTGGTATTCTTCAATCCATATTCAAGTAATTTTTCTATAATTTCTAAGGAGATTTGCTGGGAATCTTTTCTAAGAATTCTTGTATGAATACCAGACTCTTTCCATTCAATGTGTGAGTGTGAAGTAATGTTGTTGATCCCCTGGATACTGCTTGCCTTGTATAGGTCGTAAAATGTTCCGTGGGTAACTGCTACCTGCAGAGCTGATCGACCCAGGATATCCCGATCAGTAACACCAACGTTGGATTCGAGAAGAGCTGTAGTTTTTGTCATATCGTTGGATAAAACTGCTGAATGTAAGCTCAAACCTTCTGATAAAATCCTGTCGAAGAATAATCTAACTGGTTGTAGTTCATGATAAAAAAGCATCTTCACCAGCGGTGACCAGCTCTGGTCAAAATTGCCAGGGATTTTTTTATCCATAATTTTCTTCGATAACCACTGAGCTGCTAAAAATTCTGCAAATGTTCGGTGGCCAAAAAGAACTTCACCATTATCACTGATACCTGACACGATCGAATCTTTTTTATAGCTCTCTTTAAATGCAACAGAATCCTCATCTAGGTCGTCAAAGTCTATAAGATTTTCCAAGCTGTCTCTGGTATAGAAAAGCTTCAACGCCAGCTTAGACAGCGTTCTTTTCAAACTCGTGGCTTCATACGAAGTATATTCGTTCAACTTGATATTTATGAATTTGTTATACACCGCTGCAATGGTAAACACCTCATCTTCGTTCTCGCTCGGATCATTGCCAAACACTTCTGCGAACATTTTCGTCTGCAGAGGAATTCCCACGAATGATTCGTCTAAGAAAGATGTACATTTTTTGATCGACTGTACTATGCTATCGATTTGCGTTTTGTCGTATTTCAAAATGTGGTGGTTTTCAAAGTACTGGTGAAGAAAGTTCGTGTGATCACTAGTGCTGAAGCAGGTCAGTTCATAAGCTAAACAACCAAGTTCCTTTTCCAGCTCGTCTTTGAACGTAAGTCTGGTTGTGACCCACAATTTCATGTTTGACATTGATTTCAAGAGAGACATCGTTTTTGTTGAAGCCACCTCATCGTAACCATCAAACATCCAAGTCATGTGGTCCTTTAATGAGTGTATCATCAGACTCATGGCAAACGGTCTCAGACAATCTTCACAGTTCTTTGTCTGTTGGTTACACAAGTATTGTAAAATATGCGCCTTTGATTCACAAGATTCTATTAGTGAGATGTGATCGCTCAGATTCACGTAGGTCACCCATTCGTTCTCTTCGAGATGGTAAGCCATACTCTTCAGCAAGTTCGTTTTTCCCATTCCTGCATTACTGCTGATAATCTTTAACTTGGATATATGTTCTTGGGCGAGTGCGTATTCACTGATTGTGCTATCTCTATTGAAACTCGTGGATTGGTCTTGCAAAATACCAACTGATCCTTCAGATCTTAACCACTCTAAACGACCATTCGTTTCCAATTTCAGAATGTGCACGCTCTTCCCTGTACAGTCGTGTAGGGGTTTAATGGAATCCATGGCAAGTTTTAAGAGAATCGGAGTCTGGTCTATTGTCAAAATATAAATATTGTCATTTGCTGTATTTTCTTCTACATTACTCAAGTACTTTATGAGGTTCATTCTGTTAATATAGGAAAAATATACTCGTAAAGTCATCTGGTTCCACGGTATTTTTTCTTCCTCCCCTTCAATAATTATGAACAAATCACCTTTGTGAGACTGGTTCCTCCTCTTGAAAACATTCTCTTTATTGAGTAGAGCTAACTCAAAAGTGGGCTTAACCAAATGTCTCTCGATGTGAAAGTCTCCTAGGTCAGGTTTGTAACCTAAGACAGGAGGCGTCCTAATGATAGACAGATAGGTTTCCGGTTTCAGTTCACTAAGAACTTCCTTGGCATCCCTCAAAAATTTTAATGAAATGTAGGATTTGCCTTGAAGGGAAACTGAAAGCATCTCCAAATTATTCTCGAATAGTTCGTCATCCTTAAGGGAACACAAATTTTCAAAGGTGTCGAAATTGCCGAATGTAAGTGGCTGGGCGCCTATCAAAATGAAACTCATGCTCTGCAACGCGCTCTCGAAGGCATTGAGAACGTCTATCACTATTTCTGAGGATGATCTGCAATCCAGAATTATAGGAATTAACCTAATATTCCAGGCTGACATGTAGAGGTCTCTCAAAACAAGGTGTGGCACAAACTGCTGTCTTTCTTTCAGAACGCTGCTGATGAGATCTTTATCCTTGTTGGAAGTCTGTTTATATATAGAATCGAGTTGGTCTTGGGCGATATTGGTATTCCAGGGAAGTGATTTATCGATATGTATCTCACAGGTCTCGTTGATCTTCTGTCTTATCATCGCAAAAACGTTTTCTAAGTATGTCGGTTCGGAAATGTTGGTCACGTTAAAAGCCACCAAAGTTTTTCGTAAAGTTTCCAAAGAACCTTCCTCCTTAGCTGTACCTATTTCAGGATCGACCACGTACGGCATCAATATAAACTCCAGTAACCTTTCCTGTACATTTTTTTTATTGAGTACGATAATATCACTCTTTCTGCCGAGGGACCATTTCGAGAAAAAGTTTACCAGACTTCCAACAGAGATGTTGTTAATATTTTTGAACTTTTGATACAGCTCGGTTCTTATCAGTGCGTCAAGTTGTGGTTCATCTGCTTGGTTATCGTATAGAGCTAACATGGGTGTGGGAGGATTGATTATCTCGGATGCGGTCTTTTGTTTTTTAGATGTATTTAGGAACTCCGTACCGGGAATACTTCTCATTGATATCGAGCTTCCTTTATTTGTCTTCAAGCTGGTATTCGTGTACAGTATCAAATGTACCTGGTCCACGTTAACGTTTTCAAAGATAGCAAGTGTGTTTATGTTTTCATTAATTTTATCATATGCTTTCTTGTACTTTTTGAGAAACGAATCAAGACTCAGTGTGTGTTCGGCTTTATGTTTCAGCTGAACGCAGAATACTTCTACAGACCCGTTTTTGTCTACGACTTCGACAACCACATCGTCAAAGTCTCCAACTCCTTCTATGTTACACACCATGCGAAAATCCGCCACTGTGGAATCCAATGCAAGTCTTGTTGCTAAAAGTGCGGCCATTTTGTATTCGTAATTTCTCCCATAATCCCTGGCCTCTTTTCTCAGTTCCATAGCCTGGAATATAAGACGTATGTTAGAGACGAATGTGCTATTGGGTAATCAAATAAATCCCGATCTTTTGTAAAAAGTTTTTGTGAAAATCTCAGAATAAAGTGTTTTTCAATACATATTGTGTAGCCTTGAAAGAATGTAATTGCGTGAAAACTATTTTTCGTGTTTTTTGGCCGAGCTGCATGTGTTTATGCTTGACGTTGGTACCGAGTTGGTACATAGGACAGGAAAGCTTTTCCCTTGACCAGCCTAACTGGGGTTACTTTGGTGTTCTCTCTCCAGGATCGTATGGCCCGCTCGAATTCTCCTTCGCTGTACCCATTTCCTTTGAATACATTTTTTAGGTGATTAAGTTCTTCTGGAAAACTCTCAGGTTCACAGATATTTCGTACTCTCTCAACCAACGTTTCAGTATCCCCTCTCTCTTTTGTTGTGGCTGGTAGTTGGAGTTTTTGTTCAGGTACGTACCTGTCCGTGTGTGTTGGTTTCCTATACATTCTGTGAACATCAAGGAAGTCTGGAATTCCTTGGGTTTCTCGTTCCATTGTGAAATGAAATTTTGGGTCGAGATAGTTTAGAGAGTGAGCATGGGTGTGACATTTGGCTAGTTCCGCAATTTTCGAAGTCATCAGGCCGTAGGTGCCACTGAGTCCTAAATTTCTTAGTCCAGCCGCTTCCTCGGCTAAAGAGTCGGCAATGCGATTAACTTCACTTCTGTCGTGCCCTTTAACGTACCTCAGGATGTTATTATCGACCGAGGCTTTGGCTAAATCTTGGTGGCACTCTAGTACTAGCCCTGAGGTAACACGTTGTCTGTTCAAAATAGGACTTGTCTACTATCAGTGCAGATTGTTATGTCTTTTGCCAGAAATTCCTTTCCTGGTTATTTCTTTTGTGTCCATTGAGATACCAGCCAGTTCTGTTTGAACCAAGCTCGTATTTTTTCCCATTCCCCACTCAATCCTTATTCTTAGTGATCTGGAGTACACTCCACATCCTGAATCTTCTTTGGTTTTTGAGCCGTCTGTATATATGCGTATTGCATTTGTAGCATCTGACTCTGTGTTCTGTTTTATTTGTATTTTGTAGGCTTTATCAAATACAAACCTGGGTTCAATTGCATCACTGATTACCTGCAGCAGAGGTTGCGCAGTGAGATCTTCTTGCCATAGGCTCAGCCTCAATTGACCCATTCCTACCTAGAGGTTTACACAAGCCGTGCGCAATCGTAGCATGGCCATTTACGCAACCTCCTTAACGTAAAGCTCCAAAGGGGTCAGACCAACTGTATAGCCTTAGTCCAGGACAATTAGACTTCTGCTACAGTTGAAATTACAAACATCGAACTTTCTACTAGACCTTTGAATATTCGAAACAAACCTGTGATTCAAATTTTTTGAAAATGTTTCGGTAGTGCAGGGCTATTAGACCTGACTCTATTATGTTTGTGTATTTGAAGTTTTCTACAAACAGTTTCCGTTTTTCTACAAGTCACCGTTTTGTCAAAAATTCGGCATACATTACATTTATTTGTCGTTTAAATTGAAATATTTTTGAATATTTCATATTCATTCACTTCATTTGAGATTTGAATTAGGAAAAATAAATCCATTGATAATTTGAGGTCAGCACCAGCTCATTTACAATAACCATTAACAATAACTGGTATTTTTATTACTGAATGGATACTGGACACAAACTTTTTTAGTTAAGTTCCTAAAAGTAGTATGATTGGAAATATTAGGTAGGTACTGTAATATTTTCAAGAATCAGCAGTGGTACATAAAGAGAATAAATATATCATTTTCATTCGAGCGATTAACAGGACCGTAATGGAAAATTTCACAAATTGAGTATATTTGGAGACTGGCTGTAAATTGAAATATCTAATAGAACAATTCGTTCAGGCCAGTCTCAACTACATACACTGTAGGTGAATGAACTGACACCCATGAGAAAACAACTACTCCCCTGACTAATACCACGAAGGGCGTTGGGTTATATCCGACAGGTGTCAGTGCGATGACACCTGTCGGATATAACCCACATCTGCCTGTGAACGAGGTTACCAACCGCAACTTTTGAAATATAAAAGCACTATATATTCACGATAGTATACGAACATTACCGATCGAAAAATTGTAATAATAATAAAAATGATAATCGACTTTATTCGTCACAAGTGATAACGTATATCTTATTTGTATGAGCGAAGTGTCAGCTAAAGATGTTTTTCAACATTCAATTGAAACAAAAAATACAAATCCATATTTAAAATCTAGAAGTTGAGGTGAAATAAAGTAATTTTTTAATGAAATAGGTGCATCGTCTTGTAATATTATGCAAAACGATACTGATGGGGTGATGAGACAGGTGTGTTCTTCCGAAACTTCGAAGTACACCATTCAGGATGAGTGTTCCATGTAAGTGAAATTTTATAGCGATACTCTTTCATGTATTATATTATTACAATGCGGTGTTCCTAACAAAATTTGTAATGGATTTGTTATGGAATTGAAAAGTTTGGAGTACAAACTGAATGCAAAAAAGTGATGTTTGTGTAATACTTATCGTTTCGGAAGGATGTTTTCTTCCAGTTTGTACCTGAAAGAAGATTCTGTGTATGACCTACACTTCTTTGTAAAGTTTATTTTGAACGTAATTGCTTTTTTCCTTTTTTCGAAAATTCCACATTTTTTGTGTAAAGATGGGGAAGAAGAAAATGGAAAAGGCTGTATAATATGATCATTTTCCAATGAAAGTTGCTATGACCAAGTATAAACAGTTTCCATTTTTTTTTTTTTTCAAAAAGTTAGAGTCGAATTTTCAGTATTTCAAGAGTATCCAAGAGTGATAATAATAATAATAATCGACTATTCGTAACAGGAGATACGGGATATCTTATTTGTATTTACATAAATTGAACAAGACCTGATGACGAAAGGGCGAAGTGTCAGGTAAATCTATTTTTCAACTCAACCTTAAGAATAAATAGATATTTAAATCAACAAATTCTATTCGAATAATATCGCTTACGATACGTTTTCTAAAATGCATAATAATTACGAAATGGGTAACTTTTGCACAATTTACCCGACTCTATCTCTTGCAAATATTTTGGTACAGGATATTATTGAAAACGAAATACTTTATAGAAAAATCAAAAATTTATATAAAAATATTTTACAGAAAATTGGAAAATGTATATATAATTTTGGTCGTTAGCCAATATTTTTTAAGTATGTCTGCTTGTAAAGATTACGCAAATTCCAATTTGATGAAGTGCAAAAGAAATTAGTTATTATGGATTTAACTTTTCAAATATTATATATTCACCTTATTTCCCATCGTTGTTTTTTCTCCAATATTTTTAACTATGGCACTACTTTGTAGGAATATTATGCAGTAATAATCTAGAAATCCTATTTACCTTCGAAGTAAAATCAGATAGAGGTTCTTTGAACAGATTTCAGGACCGGCTTAGGAAACAGTGTACACATTCCTAGGTGATTATATATAAATATGAATACTTGGTTATACAAAAATTACAATGAAAGCTTTCAACACTATTGATTATTGGTGATTATTCGTTCCTAGTAGATAAGTACGAATAATATTTAAAATTTTCAGAATATCGAATTCTCATTCTTCTAAATCATTTTAAGAAAAAATGTGTTCAATTTTTTTAGGTTCAATCTGATATTCTCATGAAACAAACCTCAATATCAAACTCAAACAAGCAATAGTTTTGCATTCTGAAAAAAAAATCGAATACTTATATTTTTGAAATGAATCAGGTCAAAAAATCTAAATATTATGAATAACTTGAACATTTAAGGACACATTTTTCATATATGAGTGGTAGTTGTATTGCGAATCCGGTAGATGAATTTTAGGTAGGAAAACGAAATAAATGAAACTTAATAAATTATTACTTAGATTTTTTATGATCTTTTGCAACTTTTCTTGAATAATTTACTTACTAGCTTTACTTATCGCCATATCTCAAATCATAAATAATGTCAATTAGAAGGTTTGACGCCGAACAAACGTTTGGTAAATTTCATGTGCTTCATTTGTAAGTATACGTGTGGTATATTTCACGTGCTAAGAGGAATTCATTATTATACTTCGCATTATCAAGCGCTAAAAATTCGTTAAGTGACAGTGACGATTTTGGATATTGAAGAAAAAGTGAACCCAAAAAAATCTATTACTCAAGTATTCATAACCAAGAGCCGGTATAACCTTCAAACTCCATAATAAAATATCTTTGGATTTATAATGTCTCACGGAAAACATCAGTATGTTTAAGCCGGCCCTGTTTCGTAGATAAGTTGTCGATTATGAATTTTCGGGAAAATGTTATTAGTCACTGATAATGAAAGGAAACCAAAAAAATAAAGACCTGATGAAATATTTTCTGATGAAACTTAATGTTTTGTTCAATTGAAGGCTGATCAACCTGCTTGGATAAAAAAAATCAATTGAGTTCGTTATCGGGATCGGCTCTAGCATTAAAATAGAATAAATAATTATATAGTGATATTGTGGTTCATGTCCAGCTTGTATTAGAAATTTGAGACGAAAGAGGTATAAAAAAAATGTTTCGTATAAAAGTTTTAGATATCGATGCATTTTTTTGAAATATTATCCAATATACAGCTCATCCAGTAGAAGCGTGTCGTTTCAAAATTAAATTTTTTTTTCAAAATGGAATGGAGTATACCGTTTTCCATATTCGAATTAGGTCAGAAAAGTACTTCTGAAGAATATAGGATTGTATGGGTATATACCGAGCGGTCCAAAAGTTAAACCAAAAATGACGTCATAAAGTGGATCTAATCACCCGTCCTGATTTTCATTGAAATAGAATTTGGGGTGTCTGTTTTGTTACGAATATGTTTGAGAAATATAGTTTTTTTTCATTGAGTATTGATAATTTGAACACTTATTTTTTCATGTTGTAACCTTCACTGTCGCGGTTTCTGGAATATGCCGTTTCTCCCATGAACTTCATATGTGCTTCAAATCGGGAGTTCTTAAATTTCTGGAAATTGTACGACATGGAAAATTTCACTAGAAATATTCGACATATCACAGGATAGTGTTCTCTCATAGTTCAAGTGAATTATAAGCAGATTCCTAATATCTCTGTAAACCGGAAACATCAATATTTTCCAGCCGGCCCTGTTTCGTAGATAAGATGTCGATTATGAATTTTCGAAAAAAATTTGTTAGTCACTGGAATTTCAAGGAAACCATAAAAAATAATGATCTGATAACAAAATATCTTCTGATAATATAATGTTCAATTGAATGCAGATCAACCTGTTTGGAAAAAAAAAATCAAAAAGTCCGGTATCGAAATTGGACTCAGCATTGAAATAAAATGAATATTTATATGGTTTATGTCACATCTAGCTTCTATTAGAGATTTGAAATGAAAAAGGGATCAAAAAATGTTTCGTATAAAATTTTTAGAAAACGATGCATTTTTTCAAAATATACTCCAGTATACAGCTCATCCAGTAGAAGCCTGTCGTATCAAAGTTAGGTTTTTTTTTTCAAAATAGAAATAATAATGTGTGGAATTCTTTGAATGGTTACTTGTCAAGACTCAAGAGGATAAACATTTCCTTGACAATATCATATGGACAGATGAGGCCAAGTTCACAAAAAATTAAGTTTTCAATAGACACAACAGTCATTATTGGGCGCCAGAAAATCCCCATGTTGTCCGCCAAAGGGGTTTTCAAGAAAGATGGCAATTCAATGTATTTTGTGCCATAAAGAATGAGTAAATTTTTTATATCGAGTTTTATGATGATAATTTGAATGCATCAAAATATGAAGATTTACTGAGGAATGGAATTCAAATGATTTTGAATAATAGACCAGGAAGAGAACGTGTATGTTACCAAATGGATGGTGCTCCACCCCATAATTCTCATTCAGTCAGCGAAGCTTTAACCGAAATCTTCGAAGACAGATGGATTGGTAATAATGGACCTTTTCGTTAGCCTCCTAGAACACCAGATGGCAATCCATTAGATTATTTCGTGTGGGGTTTCATCAAAAATATGGTTTACAGTACTCCAATAACAACAATGGAAGATATGAAATCGAGAGTTACAACTGCTTTCAATAGTTCAGACTTGATTAGAAGCACTACACATGACAATCTTTTGAAGAGATTACATGTTTGTTTAAGTAGAGGTGGAGATGTGTTTGAACATAATCTGAAATACACTAACGATTAAATTAACTCATTAATTTATGGGTTTATTATTTTCAGTTCGTGTTTCAGCGTTAATAAAACTATTGTTTGAAGATAAGTTTCATTCGATGGTTGAGGAGTATTTTAATAATTTTTTTTCATTGTATTATCTGTGACTAATTAAGAAACATCAAACGAAATATGTTTTACAAAAATGAATGATGAACAAGGAAACCATGTCAATTTCCGTTTGAAACAGTTTCTCTCGAAAACGGTTCAAAATAGAAATGGTATTATCTGAACAAAGTTAATCTAAAATTGGATGTAGAGCTCAAAAAAGTTGAAATATACAGGGTGTTCCATTTGAAAAAATTGAGTTCCACTCATTTTTTCATGAGATCAAAGTATCTGCATTTTTTGAAGACCCTGTATGAGGCAAATGAAAATATGACTCGGAGTGAAGATCCTCATAGTATCACTCCACTCCATTTCAAATTTGATCGTTTTAGTGCAAGAGAGTTCAAGATTATCAGCATTTATATAAGTTCATGTTTGGTACAATAAATATCGAAATTAATTTATATCTTCTAAACGGTAATAGATAGGTATAGAAGAAATAGTATATGAATTTGTTGACAAAGTGATAATGAATCATAATATGATATTATATACGGGGTGTTCCGCTACTTTATAGTAGAAGCGACAACGCCGCTTCGTCTAGGCGTGTAGGTCATATTGACTTATGCATACTGTGGAATTTTCAGGTTGATCCGTTGAATAGTTTACCAGAAACGGCTAATTAACTCTCATCATGAAAAGCCCTGTATATCAGTGGCCATACTCAGGTCGAAATATCGCAGTCTCGTTCCGATCATAATTGGTTTTATTATTGTTATACAATCTATTTCAATTAACTGGAAGAGAGGTTAAAGATCGAAAGTACTGTTGATTCAAGAACGATCCGTACTATCTTACCAATTCTCTGAGACATGACCTTTGGCTGGTAGTACCGCCAAAGATATATGTTTTTAAGCGATCGTGGTCCCAATAGAACGAATCAAACTTTCACTGGCCACCTTTGATTATATTTCGTGATTACGGAGTGCTTGAACTGGAGCAGTGAAATTTGGCATTTTTCGTCGGGTATTATTCTAATTTCTTTCATCTGGTTGGAAAATGTTACAGAACTCACTTTCCTCATCGAAACACTTTCTGACGTAAGTGAATTATTATTTAGATTGCATTATATAGCATTCCAAACTTTGGACACAGATGCTCGTGAAAAAGTCAATGACATAATTCACAAAATATATCTGATACAAAAGAACAAACTCCAACGATTGATTCAGTTTAGACTTCCCGAGAAACGGGCCCAAAGTTTGGAAAACTATTCTAATCATAAGTTTTTCGACAGATTTGTAAATCTATCCGACACGAAATTTACACTCAATGAAACGAGATTATTAGAAAAAGGCCTCAGTCATAACATGAAACCATATATTAATTCTACGACCATAGAATGTTTAGGTATAGAAACAGAGCTGGCTTTGAGAGGTGCTTGTAATTATAATAAACATGTCGCGGCAAACATTTTGAAATCTGAACCTGTTGATCAAATTCAGTCTGATGGAGAAAGTAAAATTGCAAAATCAATTGAGAAAAAAGTTAAAGATTGAAGTGATTTTTACGAGAGCAGATAAAGGTCGAACGGTTATTGCATTACATAAAAAGGACTATACATAGGAAATACTCTAGATTTCCTTAATTCAGGAAGCTACGAGATTCTCAGGAATGACCCTACAACTGTGTACCAGAAAGAGGTTAAGGAAACACTCAAAACAATAGAATTGGTTATGAATGGAAAGGATAAATGTAGAGCATTGATCATGAATCCACAACCACCAAAACTGTATTCCCTTATTAAATTACACAAAACCAATTTCCCGATTAAACCACTGGTGTCGTTTGTAACGGCATCTACGTAAAAATCTCAGAAATCCTGATTGAATTGATTCAAACCTATACCAATTTCAAGCCAAAATTTAGTATAAATAATTCTTATCAATTAGTGGATAATATTAAGAACGTAATTCTTCCGGATAACGCAAAATTAATATCGTTCGATGTCCAAAATTTATTTCTCAGTATTCCGCCAACTGCAACAATTGGACTAGTTGAGTGTCTCTCAGACAAAAACCA